TTTATACTTCAGTTCAATTATCGATATCTGCGCACATTTCGTTATGATAAATGCATGAAAATCGCCAAATCAAATTATGTGTCAAAATGACAACGATATGTTCCAGGATTGTGATATACTTTTTTCGTTGATTGAAGAAATTCACAAGTCCATTTCAAACTCAACATTCAATCTGTGACAGTCTTACACATATTGAGTTTTGGTAATGTAAATTTGCTCCCATTTGTACTTTGTATCCATATTCTTTTTTTATTGATTCACTGATATTGTCGTTTACGAATAATTCTATTGGTGTTTCGAAGGTTCTACCCTTGGTGGTGATCACGCAGTTTCACTCGTGATCTCATTTCTGAACTGACATTTCGTCTAGAAACATTCTGTGATACTGTAATTTCGAATCGTTCAATGAATTTGTTTTGGTACATCTTTGATAATAATATCGGACGCTGAATCGAACATGAGTTAAGTATTTAGAAAAATCTATCCATAGATTCGAATGTAATAATCTCAGTGAGTCTCGTCTCATACTTTATTTGAATAGTATCTGGAGATTATTATTTTTGAATAGAGAAACAACAACCCTCTATCCCATTATAAAAAATTCAACACTTGTGTTGTGATTTTTCTTAAAATGTATCTTCCGCATGGAGAGCAAGATGTTTTACTCATCATAAATTGCAATACTTGGAGCTTGGAGGACGTTTTTCATATATCAAATGAGGTCAGTAGGTAGCGGGTCGGTTCGACGTGGGTGCTTTGTTCACTCACTCGAATTGACCGCCTTGTTGGTCGGTGGTTCAAGCCCTAGGCTGAACGATCAATTTTCACTTGCTATCTTGCAACTCATGTTATGAATCACACGTTAAAAGGTAAGACCTCGTTAGTCTTCAGCTCGTACCAGTTTCGACTTCTGAGGGTTTTCGTTTGTAGGGGTGCGACAACTGGTTAACAAAAAAACATTTTAAACAGATTTTTCAAACTATATCTTTTCTATAAAATGTGTTTTCCTACGATTTATGATGATTCTTTCGTTCTGAATGAAAAAAAAAGTGACATGATCATCTCCCACTACGAAAACTTGATAATTTAGCTCTTAAGGAGTTGATTTTGAAGAAGGTAGTAACAAAAATATCATAACATGTATTCAGTATTGCACTATAAGTGTCTACTTTTATCACACGGTGGTAATTTTAACAAATACATTGGAGGAATTCAACTAACTGAAGTAAATGACAAATATTCAAATATCACATGTTAATAATAGAAGTATTGCGATATAATAATTGAGAATGATAATTTATTCTTATAAGTTTTATGAGTTTGTCACAAAAACAAAAGTGGAAATATTTCATGCTACCTTCAATGAAAGATCAAAAACACAGTTATTGACAAAACACCTGGCAAACAGAAAAGACACAAAGGTCGATTTTTGATGAGGTAGTGATTCACATTCTACAAATATAGCAAAGAAAAAATATTCAATAAGAGTAGATCAATATTTTCAAAAAATCTTCGTTGAAACTGGGTAGAAATGTAACAATAACTAAGCAACACCCTCCTATTTATAGAAGAATATCGTAAGTTAATTTGAATTAGAAGTGATTTCTGAATTGAACTGTTTTCTAGAAGTTTGTATATACATATAAAAAAGTATATATAGTTGGGATTTTTCCCTTTTCTATACCGGATATTATGGTGCAGAATTTTTGGAAAATAATTGAAGTAGTCTGAAACTCCNTCGACGTTCACGAAATCACACAAGAATCTAAAAGGTGTAAAAGAGATTTATATAGCAATTTGGCATTGAAAACCTTTCTTTCTGGGCTCAAGGAACCCTTGGGTACTACAATACGTTGTATGCAACCCAAATCTCTCAGTGAAGCATTGCAGTTTGTTTTACAGGAAGACAATGTACATTACTTTCAAAATTTCTCAAATAAGAATACATTTAAGCCAAACTTTCAACCTTCTAGAACACCAATTCAGATCAGACAGCCAAATTCTTCTCCTATCAATAATTATAGTACACCAAATAACTTTTTCAGTCAGCAAAATCAATTTCCTTCACAACCAATACCAATTCAGCCACGAGCACCAAGCCAACTCCAAAAATTATTAACCAACGCGCAAGTTTTCAGACAACCATTTCAAAACAGAAATGTTTTCAGGCCCAATCAAAATCAAATTCAGAACTTCACAAAACCTACACCCATGAGTGTATCCACCAGAAATACATACCAAACAAATAAACCAGTACCAATGAGTGTTTCGACAAGAAACGCCCCTAATTTCATCGATCAGGTCCCTCAAACTCATTTCAAAATCAACCCTAAAGAAATTTTATATCAAAGGAATTATTTAATACGAATTTCTATACTGCGAAAATGAAAATCAGGAAAGTAACTTTGACAATTCCGAAGTAAATTTTCAGAAAATGCCAACCACGAACAATCAAACCTAGTTCCGCAAATCATTTCTTTCAATAATTCTTGTTCTAGCGAATTATCATACATTTTCGGAATATGACGCAAAATTTCTCATTGATTCAGGCTCCACGAAATCTTTTATAGATCCAGAAATTATTCAAAAACTGTTTCCAAATCTAATTAAATACGACCCGTTTATTGTTTCCACAGTTTTCCAAAAATCAGCTCATAAATATAGCGCATCTATGCCCGCTTCAAAATTATTCATTTTGCCACAACAAAAACATTTAAACTTTTTTCTTTTTAAATTTCATGACATTTTTAAAGGATTAATTGGTCTTGACAATTTAAAACTTTCACAAGCTAACCTAGATTTTGGTAATGGCTATCTTATCACTCCTTATGCGAAAATAAAACTGAAGTTTCAAAAAACAAAAAGCGATCTCAATTTAATTACGATTGCTCCAAGATCTGAGCAAGTGATACAGGTCAAAACATCAATTCAGAATGGTGAAATAATAATACCTCACCAACGCTTCCATAATTGTGAATTGCCAGAGTGTCTTACTGTTGCAAATAAAGGTAGAGCTCTCACTACAATTTTGAACAACACCACCAAACCAGTAACCCTGAATTTTTCAGAACCAATCGCTGTTGAAAAATTTGATAAGAACGAAATTCAAAAAATCGATTTTCATAATTTTGATGATTCCCCTAAGCAAAATTTAGATTTTTCAAAAATTCGATGTGACCATTTGAATGACGAGGAAAGATCTAAGATACTTTCGCTGTGCAAAGAATTCTCTGACATATTTTATTATGAAAATACCCCGCTGACTTTTACGAGCCGTGTAAAGCACCAAATTAGAACATCTGATGAAATACCGGTGTATACAAAATCATACCGGTACCCATTCATACACAAGCAAGAAGTCGAAAATCAGATCAAAAAAATGCTCGACCAGAAAATTATTCGGCCAAGCAATTCTCCTTGGTCATCGCCTATTTGGGTGGTACCCAAAAAGGTCGATGCTTCTGGGAAGCAAAAATGGAGGGTTGTTGTTGACTATCGCAAGCTCAATGAGAAAACGATAGATGACAAATACCCTTTACCTAACATCACAGATCTTCTGGACAAACTGGGAAAATGCCAGTATTTCACAACACTCGACCTGGCCAGTGGCTTCCATCAAATTGAAATGGAAGAGGACGATATTGAAAAAACAGCTTTCAATACGGAACATGGCCATTATGAGTACCTGAGAATGCCATTTGGTTTGAAAAACGCGCCAGCTACCTTTCAGCGCGTAATGGATAATATCCTTCGTGGTANGCAATAATGGAAAACGAACCGATTATATCTTTCAAAGACGTAGCACATATCCCAAGTTTTTGGACGATGTTTATCTACTTGGTCCTAGTATCAATTTGTTTGTACCTAGTGCACAAGAAGATTGGCTTCAGAGGGTGCAAAACCAATGGACCATCCGAACCAAGTCAAGATATCGAGATGTCCAGGGTTCAACTTCCTCGCTGACCCTCCTACGTTGAATCTTCGGGGGGAGGAATTATATCGCCTGTTCCCTTGTGAACCGCTGATCATGCTGAAGCAGAATCTCGCGATTCTGGGAAACTGATGTGCAAGCATTCTTATCTTCATGGGAAGAATACTTTTGTAATTCAGTTATAATTTTGCTCTCATACTGTTAACATCTATTTTTGTTAATAAAATTAATTTTTAAAAAAGGACTTTGACATCCGAAAGTTATATTTCATGTCTTGTAGCAAACTCATTTCGGTAATTATCCATTTGTACTTCTATTCGTCTTGTTGAAAGTTCACCTAGAGTTGTTCATATTCGAAAGGAAAATCAGTATTGAAATTTCCTGCTGAAACTAGTGGCAACATATGATAGTTTTTTCCTAATTCTTCATAGACAACCCGACCGTAAATGCGCCTTTGCACATCTCTCCCTTGCCCCCACATCAATACGAAACGTATCTCTCTCTCTCTTTCTATCTTCACTAACTTATACTTCCCTCTCAACATCCGTTCATCTCGCCTGATCACAGTTTCGTAATGCTCTCGTCACGCATTCACAAGCTTACTTCCCAAGTCAAGCGCTCGTAAAGAAGTTTTACTTCAAAAAATAAGCGAAGATAAAACTACGTATCGTCTATATATAACATCTTGACAATGAAATTCAGTACCCCCTATTCACAAGTCTCTAGTCAAATCGATATTGGAGCTCTATGAAATTTTCAAGTGGCGTGTCTTTTAAGATATTTGAATGTTTCATTTACAAGTGAATATTCGCCCTTCAGTATTGGAAAATTTAATATTTTATCTATGCACACGAATTGAAAAGTATATTGAATAAATTTCAATCTGAATTTCAGCGGAGTTTTATGCAAGGACATATTAACGTACAAACGTTACCAGTGTTAAATCATATGAATGTTATATAGAAGTGATCAGAAAAATAGAAATCCTTCATGCTTGTTTCTTGTAGTCATCAATCACCAAATCACACATCATTCAACATTCCTTGAGCTTACTTCTGTTCTGAAAAAAAGAATATGGTGGATAGAAAGATTGGTAGAAAATGAAAATCTTATTTTCTGAGTTTACGATAAATTCAGCACCATCTGAAAAAATAGCCAATTTTGAAACATGGCACTTTTAGAACAATACTGAGTACTCTCCTCACAAGAAGCAAGGCAAAAAAAATTGCATGTTTTTTCCACTTCATTCAATGTTTCATATTAGAATTGTATGTGATTACTATTACTGGAAATGTTCATACAAGTGCAATATATTTGCAGTAAACTAAATTTTCACAGGAAACATGATGTGTACTGAATTATGTGTACCTTTTCTGTGACAGAAGTCAAAACTTTCAAAATTATACATAATCTTATCTGTAAATAGAAAAAGACTGTGAAAAGTCAACCGCAGTCATTTTCATTTGTTCAAGGATTTTTATAAACTACATGTTATTGAGGGATTGAACTATTTTCTCAAGAAGTCATTTCAAGTGATGAAAATAAATTAGAAATGTGCGAAAGATTCACTTTTTATAGCTGAGTGACCAATAGTTTAGGTATTTTGATAGACTACATATGTTCTAAAATGAGTGAGTTAATATATGGCCATTTTGATATTCTACAAAAATATCGTTCTTTGGAAATTCTATGATTCCGTATTGATAACGCATGATGGATACAGTCTTTTACAGTCCCTCTTGTCTTGACCATCTCTGGCAGCTTGAACATATCTGTAAAACCTTATCACAGCGGCATTGGTTGAAGTGGGTTTTTGAAGTTCCTCAGAATCCCTGAAAAGTGAAATAAGTGATTTTAATATTGTGAAAAGATTGATCATAAAATGAAGCAAAGAAATATTCAATGAGCTGCCACTACATAATTTTTTTATAAGATACAACTCATAATATGAATTGCTATTTGCAAGCTTATCAGTCATTTAGTAGGAGTGTTGAATAAAATATTGGCAATGGGACGACATTCCATAGAGCTTCTGATTTTTTATAAAGGAAGTGAGTGTCATCTAAGACATGAGTAGATCAAACTCATTCCGTGACATGAGGTCGTAATTTTATGAATGAATTCAGTGTTTACTCTCATGATGTTATCAGGATTTGGTACTGAAGAGCTGTCTACCAGTGGGGATGACAATGTTAAATGTGAGTGAAATGTAAATAGAAATCCAAAACATTACTTCTCCAAAAACTTTATTAGTTTTCAATGCCTTGAAAATACATGATTTATGAAATTATTCTCAAAATATACCCTATACTTCGATGATGGAAAAAAATGTTAAAGGATGTCTAATATTGGATAAAATATTTGTGAAAAACGTTACAGTTTAAAATTATTTTGATGGAAGAATAATGGACATTATTATAAAGAGTACTCTTTCATTTGCTGCTTAGTCCCATTATTTGTTGGTTCCATTCCTAACTAGTCAGCAACGATTGGGTAAAGTATTTCAATGAAATTAAAATAAATTATAAACTTTCACAATAGAATATATTTTGTGAAGAACTCCAGTTTTTGGGTTTTTCCAGATTTGTTAATGGCAAAAAGTTCTTATCTATCATCAGAATATGGTTTCACAAACTACAAATATAGTGACATGTTACTTGAAGTAAATTGATAATACCAAAAACGATAATGATTATACAATGTTCATACTATGAATTTTATTCAAGACGCGATTCACTACACAGTAGCTTCATCAGGTGGACTGATGAATAAAGTTAACCAAAGTTTTAGCCTAACCATATGAACAGTATTTTTTCATTATGTTTTCCAACAAAAATCTGACGTTATTCCTTCAACTGATATAACTTATTTCTTCATGAATCGATTCAAATAAATCAAATACATTCAATGTTCAGTGTAGCGAAATCAGTCAAGCCGTTTTCTAAATTAGTGCACACTCATAGACAAACAGATAGTTAGCAATCAATCACTTTTTTTTATATTTATTAATTTTCGATTCAGCAAATATTAAAAATAATTTCAATGTCATTTGTCGACTATGACCCCGCTTTTACGGAAGAAAGCACTGATGAACGGTTGAACCCATTTTGACCCCATATATGAAGGCTTTGGAGAAGAAAGTAACCGTGAAAACAAATACTCAACAGTAGTGTAAATTTTGCATTTAGAAATTCCCAACACGAAATTTTGGCAGCCGTTTCTAGTTCAGAATGCAGTTGCTAACGACAACGAATCGTTGAACCTAATGTCCAATCAACTTCTTTCCTCTACATAATTTCATTCCAAGGGTCATTCACTTTTACGTTACCGACATATGATGACCCAAATAAAAGTTATTGGTTTTATTTTTTCGAGAAAAGGTCAAGGTGAAGGAAATCATCATCCGCATAATTGAATGAGTTAAACCCAATCGTTTGTTTTGATCAAACAAGTGTTATGGAGATCTCTTGGTCACTTTGATGGAATGATTAAAAACTTTTGTCTAATTATCACTAGTCAAATGTATTTATCCGACCAGTTTCGGGTTTTATCGCATCACCAAGTTTAAAACTATAATGTGAAATTTGAAAAACTTAGTTTTATCGGGAGTTTATAGATGAGATAGGACAGTTAGTTAAACGAACCAGGGTGCCAAATTTAAAATTCAATACTGAAGAATATAGGTGTTGTTTAACTTCTAAATTCAAGAGTGGATACCTACTTGAATCGAGTTGCTCAGTTAGGAGTATATATTTCTGGTATCTTTTGTTAATTTCCAACAGGTCAATGGTACACAGAGCTATCGCAATCTCGTTACCTGGAGAGAATTTACAAAATGAACGAAAATTAATCAAGCAAATTACAGTAATCAGTCAGGTATAGTTCAAGTAAACGGTAGGTGCACCCTACCTTCCAGCAGTTCCTCTTAAATAAAATAGTTAGGGAGCCAACTAATTTTGTTATTCTATAATCATTTCTGATTATATAAGAATCACAATGAGAATATTATATATAAAATCGAGGACCGCCCGCCCGGTACTGACGATACCCAATAGGCTGAAACAGCTGTATACCGGTGGCTCTTAAATTGAAATCAAAATGGGAATGATCAAAAAGTACTATCTATTTATTTGTTGATTTTCATGGAATTATTTTCCAGCAGCTTAACTGCATTAACCTTTCTAGATTTCTAGATAAGTACTTTTTGATCATCCCCATATNAGAATATAGGGTTGAAATTGTTTTATAAATCTTGGTAGAAATTCTAATACTTTTTATATCACGAAATATATTAAGTAATTTAGGGGTTAAATTTGGAATATATCTCATAGAATAATTATATATGATTTGATTATTCTCATTAGAAGCATTATGTGTTTTGAAAATTTCATACCTAATACTACGTGCGGTTTCGGTAGATAAATTTGGATAACTTGAATGAAGATTGAATTTCGGTAAGTTGAATAAATATTTATTCAAAAGCTTAGGAGGATATGAATTTTCCATTAGAATACTTTTTAAAAGTTTTAAATCATTTTTAACAAAATCCGGATGGGACAATCTGGTGACTCTTTCTTTAAGAGTTTTCTTCCTTGAAGGATGCTGTGAAAAATAACTAATGAACCTATTGCTACATATAGTTTTTCTGTGCCATGTATTCTTAAGAATGTTTCCTTCAAACCTGATGACTTTCATGTCAAGAAAAGGTAAAGAATCATTAACTTCTTTTTCACAAGTGAATTGAAGATGTGGATCTCTCTGAGAGAGAGAGAGAGAGAGAGAGAATTTTGGAAAATTATTTTTACGCCTGATGCTTGGTTTCAATTTTTCCCAAATCAACTCGATGGGATTGAAAACACAAAAATAGAGGGGAAGTCTCAATGTGGTGTGTCCATACTTCTCAGCAATACTCTCAAGGGCATACACTTTTTCGCATGTTTTTATCTGTAAAACTTCAAGTAGTTGGTTTTTGATATAGTTATCTTCAAAATATAAATTTTTATCCACTAAAAAACTCATCAAAGCTCATTCGCGACAGCTCATCAAAGTATCGATTTTTATTCGATACTTTGATGAGCTGTCGCGAATGATAGGAAGCGTTGTCAAGAACTATTACACTATTCGCATCCAAATTTGGGATCAATGTGTTTTCAAACCATTCCTCAAAAATATTAGCTTCCATGTTCTTATTATAGTCAACATTGCAGTCCTAATGTTTTTTTCCACAAAATTTCAAAGAATTTGAACCATTCTTGAACCATCAGTCCACCCTTTCGTAACTGTGTCGTGAGTGTCATACCAAGTTTCGTCCGAATAGAAAATTTGCCGTTGTTCTTGTCTATATTGATTATTTGTCCTGAGTATTTGTTACGCAATTCCACTATTCTTCTGCTTTCCATAACTGCTTGACCTTTGTTTATTATTTTAAATCTAAATCCTAGTTTCTTTATCCAATTCTGAAGAGTTTTGTCACAGCAGCTCACGTTATAGCTGGAAGTATTCAATTTCTTTCTTATGATTTCAATTGAAGGAATCTCATTGCTTTTGTAACAGTCGTATATTATTAGTTGTAATCATTTCATCAGATGAACATCTGAAGGTTTTGGCAATCCCGCGTCTTGCGTTCATAACGTTTGTTTTTGACTATTTTACGTACAGTTGAGGAAGGAATTTCGATCAAATCTGATGGTGCTTTAATAGTTTTTTTTCCTTCGAAATCAAATCTTGATATATAGATTCTTATATACATTAAAACATACTCTCTGTGTTTCAAAATTCAAATGCATCCGAATCTCATTCACTGGTATCTCTTTTTCGCATTGTTCACCGGCGCTATTGGAATCACTTCACATGAAAAAAGCCTGCGTTGTTATCACACTCGTTATTACTATTAGTACTTCTCCAAGGATGCCACACTTTAAACAAATAACAAATATTTTGAGTAATTATAACTTCACCAATATCGAATTTCAACACTCAAATCGCGATCAGTTGCTGAATTGAACATTCAGACACAACGAACGGCGGTACTCACTGCTACATTCTACTGGTCACCGTAACATACCTTCAAATTTACTTTAATGACTCTTCAGCCAATCATAAAACTCGGTTAGTGAAAATTATTCAATGTACACAATGCTTCAGTCCACGTGAACTAATTCGTAGCGGCATTATTTCTTTGTATTGTTTTTTTGGCCTTTGAGTTCGTCGATAGCTTTAAGAATTACTATATCGGTTCCTTCGACTATACCAGTTTCTCTAATAGAAAAGATAATATTGGCTAAAACTTATGAAACATTTATAAGTAAATTATACCCAAACTGCAGCGAACACAATATATGTCAGTATAGTAGCATCAACTACTCAGGTAAACTTTCAGAAAATATTCAAAATTACTTCTATAAATACAAAATAGCAACAGCTTTCATAAGTAATAATAATTTAGGCAGAACTCTGTTCAATGCCAAACCCAAACGAGATAGAATGAAAATATCAGATATACATAGAATTGTGTGGTGAATGCTCCGCAGTACCTATTTACAGGCCAAACCGGAAAAAATTTTGACGTAAGACTCTGTGAACACGTCGGTTTCTACAAAAAATCTACAATGTATTAACATCTTCAAGAATCAAAAAACGAAATAAGTAAAGATAACCTTGAAATCCTACACATATGTAACAAAGGAAAAAAAATTGTTGGAAGCCATGGAAATTAGCAAATGAATCACTCAAAGTGATTCTACTGAAAGATCTAAGATATTCTAGTGATTCCTTTTACTCTGTAACTCAAGTAATGGACATAAGGCAACTCTATACCGTACAGGTATGTATT